AGAAGATATTGAGACAACCAGGGCTTGTGGTGCTTTTAAGAGGCCCATCGTCGCTCCAGCAAACAAGTTAAATCTGAACCCTGAACGAGAAGCTATAGGCTTCGGGGGGGATATTTCAATCATGTGAAGTAATGGATATGCATGAACTTCCAAAACAATAGGCTACTGTACGCATGAGAATAAATCCCCCTAAAGATGTCTGGCGGTGGCACATTTGCCTGTGACTTCTGTACGTACGTACGTACACACACACACACACACACACACACACACTTTGAAGATTTTCACAGTTCTGGGTGGATATAGGGCAGCTTTGGATGCTGAGGTGACACGCGGATCAGATGGCTTGTGTCATCTCTGTTATTAACCTATCCACCAGTGCAGCAGCTACAGTAGCGGGTGGGGTGTGGGTGGATGCTGCTGCTTCGGGGCTGTAGGAGGGGGGAGGGGGGTAAACGTGTCTTTTAACTCCAGCCGGAGCCTTTGCCACCGTAAAGGTCAGCGCTTCGACATCTGCTGCTCTCTCTGAACCTCTCCTTTCATAAAAAGGGACGCAGGGAAGAGGAGAGGACCCGGGGGGGGGGAAAGGATGCACGTGCATGTGCACACACACCAACTTTTTTGCTCGGTACACGCTCTCTTCCACATGCACTCACTTGACCACCGTTAACACAGCCGCAGAGATCAAACTGCACGCTCGGTTTGCGTTTTTTAAAGAAAGGCTCGGTAGTATCATCAGCACAGAGACGCTTGGATTTTGGCATGAAAGACTCCATCGTTCTGTTTTTTCATTTTTTTTTGGTAGAGGGATGGAAGGGAGGGTGAGCAAAATGGAATCCCGTCCCTCGGGGCCACAGCAAAGGCAGAGCGGTGTTGAAATAAGTGATTCATGCTTTTATTGTCCCAGGTGAAACAGTGCTGCTCTTTCAGCGATCACAATCAGTTTCTCTGGAAGAGAGATGGGGAACATTACACAAGCAACACTGTTGCTTTTTCATTTGTTTTGTTTTTTTTTGCCACATGCAAGCTACATCGTCACTGTTCTGTACCGGGGTAGGAACATTTGTGCAATGCTATAAACCCGTGCAAAGCACACAAGAGGAGTTGTCATCGAGAGCTTAGTCAGTGCAGATTATCGTTGGGATTTTATTGATACTAGTACTCTTATCGGTATTGATTATCGGGTCGGTTCCTTATCTATACTCTTATCGGTCCTTTTTGATGATTTTGTGATTCTATTCTTATTAGCAAACTCCATACGGCATCGCTAACGTTACCTGCAGTGGACGAGGATGAACGGCTGCTCGATGAACAGTAGAAAACGGTGCATTTCTGCACATTTATGTTCCGCTTGTTCGCCTAATGTTTTGATATATTTCTGGTATTACCTCCCTTACTTGTGAGGGGTTTATTACATTAATGACAACGAGAAATATCAGCATCCACTCAAGTAAAACGTAGCAACGCTTTCGATCATTTTTGTTCTCCCTGCCATGATGGGTGTCTCGCGCTGTAGGGACATGTTGCAAAGAAACCTAAGCAAAGACCACTGTGACGTCGGCATGAAAATCCACTGTAACAAACATAAATTCAAGCTATTCTCCGCCCCCCTTCTTTGCAAAGAAGCTAACAATAAACTCTTCACAGCGAGTGGTTGACATGTGAAATATCCAGTAGATTTGTTTATTGTATGTCATAGCGGTCATGTCTTTTGTAATCCATGCTACAAAGCTCTTTGGCAATTACAGGAGCTGTACATTGAATGAAATGGTCTACGCAGTAAAATACAGTGCTTCATAAAAGCCAACATTTATCGTGAATTGATGTCAACTGAATTAGTAATTGCCACCTGCACAATCAGACACATCTAGTATCAAAAACAGTGTCTGATTGCATTCAGACACAAACACACACGCGATGATCTTCCATCTTTCTTCGTTTGAAGATGAATAGATTTCCAAGAAGCAATGTCACAAAGTTGCAACTTAAAGAGACAGTAGAACCAGTATGACCAGTAACTCTTAAGACAGAAACATAGAACTACAACCGCTCTGTAATGCTGTTACACCAGAGTCATAATACCATTAACAAGCCTGTGGAGCCCCTCCCTGTGTGAAGGCAGAACCAATCAACCAGCTCACGGGGCTGTGGTCAGGCTCCGTGATGCCTCCAACCGTTCATGTGAACACGGCTAAAAAAAAAAAAGAGCCCTTATGGCACTTTAATTTTCTGTTAAAACTCTCTCCCCAAAGCGCGCACGCGCGCACACAAACGCACACACACACACACACACACATGAATCTGCAGATATCATCTGGACAGGTGGCCAGTCACCCAGACCTGACCCGCCTGCCCTCTAGCTCCCTCCCTCCCTCTGCCTG